AGTGTTTTTCCCAATATTTTCATCAAGCAACGAAAATTAGCGGTACATTTCTTATTCACCGATGCTTTCTTTAGCTGCCGAATCAACTTTTTTTTTTCTTCGGTTGCACGTGTGCCTAACATGCTGCCACAAAAAACAAAAAAAAAAAAGCATTTTTTTGTTGTTTTGTTTGGTAACGATAATTGTTTCCTCATAAAAAGTCTTTCTTTTTTTCTTTTCGGAGAAATTGGGAAACAGCTATAGGAGTCTCAGAGCTCTACTGAGCACGAAACATGTTATTTAAGCAACAAGTAAAGAAAAAAAAAATACGCGGCATGCTTTTTGCGTACCCATCTGCCCACGCACACGTCAGCGAATCCGAGAACAGCCAGTGTTTACGCAGGTGCGACCATCCGATTCAACATTATTCACACGCTACCCAGGGCTTACGTCTCTTTTGACGTCGGCACTTTGTATGCGGCACAGGTAACTATCGAGACACCTGTGGAACAATATTGAGAACAATAGAGAGTTTTAGAGAACCGTTTTTGCACGTCGGATCATCATCATCATCATTTATTAAACCTTGAAGGCTCCGACGGGCATTACACAAGGTGGGGGTACTCGCTGAAAAAAACATAAAAGAACAAACAAAAAGTGGGTTACATGCTGGAGAACATTTCAATTTGGGCATGTGCAAAAACGGTTCCCTAAATAAGTTTTGAAAAACCGGAGACGACGGACGAAAAAGGGGACAACGCAGGAAAGTTCTAATTTAAATTAGACGGCTAAATGCTTTCCCCCCTTTCCATTTCGAAGTCACTTGGGACGACGACACAGGTCTCATATTCTCTCCGAGGTCAGAATTGAGACGTTTGTGTGTTGTCCCCAAAAATGTGTAACATCAACCAACTCGCCTGGCTACTCTATCTTCTATCTCCCTAAATAATGATTTCTCTTTGCACCGTCTATTCGTGTCTATGGAATTTAAATGGGATGTGTCTGTGCCAACCGGTCCCAAGGGTAACAAACGTTCGGTTTCTAGACAGAAAAAGAAAAAAAAAATTATGCGATGTGTGCACTAATGTTTGCGCTTGAGCGAAGTTTGAACTTGCTCGGAAGTAGTCGAGACGTTGGGGAGTTTTAGTAGATCGTTCCGACGACTCCGGCAACGATACCCGATGTGCAGCCGACGACGCCTTTGCGCACGCATCATGTTTTTTATCGGGTACATAATCGGAGGTATCGGAATGATGTACACTACAACTCTATTGCTACACAGATGCATCTCAGCCGCTGTAAGCGTGATTGATATATATCCAGATTCATCATTCACGATACCTCTTTTTTTTTTTTTTTTTTTTTTTGTCGACAGTATTTGTTGGTGTACACATAAGGGACGCGTGAGATGGAAAAAGCCTTCGAAAACTCGAAATCACCGAGAAATCGAGAATATATAGTCACGTGCGAGGGGGTTCGCGGTCTCGTAACATCCTATAGACCCATCAGAGAAAAAAGCGCCACCTGTCGTAGGCAACAGCAACTAGTGGCAGCCGCCATGCTGCAGGATAGCGCGCGCCGCTGCGTACGCTGCGTTGGCCGTAGACGCTAGTCAATTCCTGCCCACGATGCCAACGTACTGCTGCGTACCCCTCTGTAAGCAGAGTGGGTATCTGGACAAGTCTGGCATTAAGGCACGCATTCGGAAATGTACTCGTTATCGGTTGAGGGCGGCGTAGCCGCGCAAACGTTTCCCTGCTGAAGTGCAAAAACGGAACACGAACCGTTCTCACGCTACGCTTCCTTGGGTGTTTGAGTCAGGTGTTTTTAATCTCACTTTGTTGCGTTTGAAGGTAGAGTTTTCAAGTTTCAGCTATACTTCGTTTCTGCTTCGGTCCAGACGCAGCCGATGCTACTAGCGCGAGCATGTGGCCCAGAACAGTGCTTGCACTGCACGAGCACGCGTGCTTGGCAGGGATGCTGAAAGCCCGGAGCCCGCGCTTGTAGCTTTGGCTGCGTCTGGACCGAAGCTGAAACGAAGTATAGCTTGAAGAAATCAAGGCGTCAAATACAAATATAATGTTGCTCGTGGTATCGTTTGTGGACGTGACAGCTTCGCGAGCGCCTAGCTTCAGGTATGCGCGAGCTCGCGGTGCTTCAAACTTGCGCGTGTAAATTGTATGCTAGGTATGCATGAAGCCATACGACCTGACGCTTTAACCTGCCTGTAGCGCAGACATCTGTGCAGCGCGTGCTTTATGCAAAGCAACATGCACGCGCTTGCAACTTCTGCTTCACTGCAAAATTTGCTGCTCTACATTTCCCAACTCTAAAATCCCGCTCAAGAAAAAGGGACTCGACGTATCAAGTAGGAACTTGTGTCAAATACGTCCTTTACTGGTTAACTTGCGCATTGAAATTTTAGGTCTTAATTCCAAGTAAAAAAACGCGATTTGACGAGCGACGAGTCAAGCGACGAAAGTCGGCTACGAGCAACGAAAATGTTTCACTGTCGCTTGTCGCGTCGCTTGGTTTGGGATTTCTAGAAAACGACGCTCATCGCCTTGGTCGCTCGCTCGTCGCTTTTATGCGGTGTGCTTCATCGCGCGACTGTCCGACCGGCAGCGAAGCGGGACCCCTGCGCCTGTTTTGTCGCACATCCGGAGAGAACTGGCGACTTCTAACTACAGCCCGTAAATTATAACCGGTTCCTATCATTTTTTGATGACATGGTTGATGTCGTAACTACAAAGATCTTAGTAATTACCTTTTTCGTGCGTAGTTGGCCTTTATAGATGCGGCGACCACGAACCCCTCAACGAGAAAGTTGTAACTTCTGTCGAATTGTCGTTTCGAGTCCGATCGGCTCTTTAAGAAGCGATATACCACATCATCTTTAACGGCTGGGAGCTGGGAAAGGTCGTTTACCCAACCCGTGATCGGGAAAACGCTACCTGCAGCCATACAGAGGCGAAAGGATCGACGAAACAAGAACGCTACAGTCAAAACAACCATGCCGGCCGCAACAGGGTCCTTCCCAATGGCGCCGGCCGCCCAATGTTGTTGGACTCGTTCAGCGGATTTTCGCTGTTGCCAGATTTTTTGAAAGGGGTCTATATCACGTAATATTCGCCGATTTATTTGGAAAGAGAAATTACCATTCCCACTACTCGGTTTGTGGTTGCGTCAGCCTTTTCATTCGTGTAGAGTCTGCTCATTCGTACGGTCATTTCGCCAGATGTATGCCCCTTTCAGAAATCTCGAGCACGAACTTCATACTAAAGACGGGGACGGGCGAAATTGGTTAGAATTGACCGACGTGACCGGCTGAACGACGAGGAAACGGCGGGGTGCCGCCTGTCAGAAACGCAATAGACCCGTTCCGAAATTGTGAAATGATGCATAGATTATGCGCAGCCGCCATTAGTTGGTCTCATCGCTTCCGGCGTGAAGCCCGTGATTGGTTGCATGTTTGCGCCGAGCAGTACGGCCGGTTCACGTGCCCGTAACGCTATTTCCTGTCTTCTCACTTTATTTTTTTATCGCCAGTTGTTTTATTTGAGTGCGGTGGCAGTCACACATGCCTGCGCTCCGGAACCACTCACCCCGATATCTGGTCTACGCTGCGGCCGTATAATGATATCTCCACTGCGGCGGAACAACAACTTCGAGAGCAATGGCGGGAATCGTGTCAAAATATAGGCTGCGTTATAGAGTGACTATATACACCGAGTGCTCATTTGAATTCGAACAGGGGGACATTATGTATGTGGCTAATCTTTGCGATAAGTCGGGTAATTAACTAAGCTGCCTTAATTAACTTTTTTAATTAGTATATATGAGCCGCAGAGTTATCAGCAATAAACGCTGGGGGTTCAGGTGGCGCTAGTGTGCTGTTTCATTTTGAAGCAGACAGCAACCAGTCTAAATATGACTTTCGGTAATCCATTCCTATGGAAAAACACAAATGCGTTTTCTCTTCGCGGTCGATTATAAGAGCAAATATTGCTTAGTGTTGTGACAGAAAAAGAAGTTTGGAACGTTTTACAATCGGATGTACAAAAATATGCGTCAGAGCGTTTTTCTTTAGAATTCATGGCGTCGAACACTGCGCTAAGACAGCCCAATACACATGTATAATACGTGTTGACGTTGCGAAGCACACACAGTGAATCACTTTGACAAAACACCAAATGGATGCTAATATATGCCAAATCAAACAATCAAAACAGACGACAAGAACGAAGCATGGATTTATGGAACGAAGAACACGTACTGGATTAGTAACAAACTCTGCATGAATAATGAGAATAAAGCCGTAACCGAGTGTTGCTGCTCTGAAATAAATACGATTGTTGTTGCTCAAAAATAAATTGTATCGACATATGCTGTACAGTAGAGACCTGGGCCCCAATTTTTGCTAACTTAAACATCGCTCAATAACAAAGAAAAACCATTAACTAAATAAATTACGCGCTTTTGTAATGTGAATACAGCCCCTAGTACCCTTTACGAGTAAAGAAACTACGCTGATTTCTATTATTCCCTGGTGAAGAGAAAAATAGTACGTACGTTTTCCCATAGGAATACACAGGAAGACTGGAAAAGTAGACTGGTTGCTGTCTGCTTCAATTTGCAACCGGAAGTCTCGTGGATACTATCTGAGCCTCTAGATATGAGCTATGCATCAGAGTAACGACACTCGAGCAATCTTGGTGCTTCGACTCATGGTTGCCGTTTATCTGACGCACTTCACCTGAAGTCGCAGAAAACCCTTTTTTTTCTTCTTTCTTCTCCGGAAAATGTTAGAACACACCGCGACAGAGCCAAACGATATCGCGTGCAGCTTCTTGACGCCGTAAGTCGCGTCTTTTGAACGTTAACTCGCGCAAATTGCGCCCACCCTGCGTACTAAGAGTCGCACCAACATGGCGGCGCCCACGAGATAATGGGAGCATAATGGAGTGCCGATGCTCTAACGAGCGTGGCTCGATGCCCGTGTCAACGACCGCATGGCTTACGTAGTGTTCGGCCGGCGCTCCTTGCTGGAAGGTGGTTGCCATCGAAATCGGCGGTACCACCGCCCTCGAGTTCCACTGGCTCGGGTCTTGTCCCGCGTGGACTGCGTTGGTGTCGAAGTGCCACTGTTCGGATGCCATGATGAGCTGAGTTTCTGCTCCTTGCTCGTTCGAAGCGTACGCTTGGAATGAATGCCGTTCGGAGCCCAGCTGAAACGCCGTAAGCGGAGGTGGTGGGAGAGGAGGCGGCAGGAAGGGCGGCATTTGTAATCGTGCCCTGCGGCCTTTTTTTTTCTTTGCTACTTTGTCTTTTTGTTATCTTTGTTTTGTCTCTTGTTTCCTCGTCGTGTGACTCGCCGCGTATCAGACGCGTCGTCTGCAATGGAGCCCGTTCACCGTGTCTGGGGTTGTGAATTGCGACGCGTGTCGTCTGCTCGCGTGGCTTGCGCCGTCGTCTTGGAAATGTCATCGTCTTGAAAGCCGACAAAAAAAAAAAAAAAAAAAAAAAACGAAAATTTTTTTTCAAAGATTTGTTTTAGACGATTTTTCTACTAAAGGTAAGAAAAGTCTTCTTGAAGAAAAGAACAAATAACAAGATTTATCTATTATTTTTATCGATCATTTTGTTCTCTTTTACCTTTTAAACGGGTCATGAAACGATTTTTCCGCTTTCGCTAAATTCTATTTAGAATCACTCCATAACGTTAATAGCTGAATAAATTTGCTGCCAATGCAATTAATGATAAGGTACGAGCGAGCTGGACAATAATGACGAAAACAATTCCTGGAGAAGGGGAACAAAGAACAAACATAAATCTCCAAATGGTGACTGATGCGCGACCGAAAAAATCCGCCTGGTTCTGATATCGAACCAGGGACCTTTCCAGGCCCGCTGCTGTTTTCCTCACTATGGGTGGTGCACATGCTACACATTATGCCTTTATGTTCATAGTGCATAGAAACCTGTCAACTTGCCTTAGTTTTTCTTTCTAGGCCAAGGAAGTCGCCAAAAAGAGACCGATAAATATGAGCACGGTTTATCGCCTCAACTCGGAGCCAGAACAAGCGCCCACGTGAGCCACGCGCTGGGGTTGGCAAGCAGAAAACGTGTGCGTGAGCTCCAGGCATTGTTAGGGTTTGGCTATTCTCATCACCGCAGTGGTTGAACACGAGTCACTACCCGAGTGTCCGCCGGGGCAGTGATTGTATACGAGCGGAAGTCGAATGCTCACACATTTCTCGTGTCCAATCCATCATCCGCGCTCGACCGTCGTCAGGCAGGTGGTTTCGATCCAACGTTGTTTCGATCCCACACAGTTACCTCATCAAGCTTTGCGAAGACGAGACTGAAAGAAAATACTCCGCTTTTATCATCGCAATTTCACCGCGACAAAGAAGCTTCTGAATTAGTGCACGGTCCGTGCGAGGATATTCGGCCAGACTTGGACCAGTACACCTCTGCAAAGTCATGAACATTCTATCCGATATTGTTTCGTGACCTCTTTAAGGGAGAGTTGGCAGTTTTTACGTGCGGTGTATAAATTAGCTTGCACACGGCGCCATTGAACCATGTGGTCATTTTTACTAGTTCTTGCCGAGAAAAAAAGATAAGTGGCGCGAATCGAAGATAAGCGCTGAGCAGCAAGGTTTACTACCACCATGCGCGCTGATGTGACGTTAAAGTTTAAAGCGTAACTCGGTTATATGATTTGAGGCTTACGACGGTTTTTAATGAAAGAAGTGTCCCTGAATTACGAGGTGTCCATTTATTTTTTTTTCTTCTTCGATGTCTTGTGTAGTTTTGTAGATATCCTATCTCAAAGTTTTGTTTCGGGGTTCTATAAGTCAGATAAGATGCTACGGCTGTTTTACTGCTTTGCTTTGCAGACACCGAACATCTGTAGCAAATATTACTTATTCATGAAGCTGCCTGCCGAAAAGCGAGTTTGCCATGATGAACGCAGGTTTAGAACGAGCCCCCACTTCTGAAAAGAACTACAATCTTGGTGGTGTGCAATGCACGTCGCAGAAGCGTTATGGAAGCTAATAGCAAGCTCTCTGTGAGCAAGAACCGGCTAAACTATGGCTGCCAGTGAATGCCACCTTCGGCTCTAACCTTCGGCACCACATTGCGCTTGAATGAGCAGGGAGTCGCTCGCGAGGGGCGCTGCTGTTTTCCTCACTATTAACTGATGGCAAAAGTGTTTTATAGCCTCACTTTCTTTTCACTTCGGAGTGATTATAGTTTTCACATTTAAATATTCTAAGCTTAAATGGTAAAACAAAACTGCTAGGTGGCGTAAGCTACCGCCCGATCCAAAGGGCTCAGCCGGATTCATCTATCCATCCATCCATCCTATAAAGCCCCTTCATGTTTCACAAATAGCGCAAGGTGCATCGATGCACGAGGCATGTGCAACCTGCAACCCTTGGGAAGATCATGGCAGCACAGCGCAGTACTGAGCTCGATTTCAGAGGCCATGTTCTTCCCACAAGTGGCTGGCGGCACGTGCCTCGAGCATTTCCACAACTATGAATGGCGCCACTTTTCTCAGGATAGAGGGGCTTTCCCTCACTATGGGTAAATCACGTGCTACCCCCGTGGTTGCGTTTTTATTTTCATAGTGTATAGAAACCTGGGATTGCACGTGCTTGCACCAGCAGAGGAAGTTGAAGTATCCTCACTCTGGGTTGTGAAAAAATTCCGCCAGGCGGCGATACCCAAACTTCTTGCCGCGATAGAGCACTTACAAACTATACGGCCGCTAAAACGGTTCTTTAGAACTCCCTACTGTCTCAGGCATATTTTTTTATTGACCGACGGCCCTTGTACGACGGTGCCACCGCGTCAGTGACGTAGCCAGAATTTTATTTCGGGGGAGAAAGGGGGGAGGGAGGGTTCAGCGGCATTAATCCCCCCCCCCCTCCCCACACACACACATCTGGTGGTTAGTTAGTTTTATTTTTTTATTGGAGTATTTTCTCACAGCTGCTGGAAATTAGCTTAAGGGGAAAGAAGGGGGGGGGGGGGGGAATGGGGGAGTAGGTACAGTGCTAATCACACTTGTCTATAACGCGCGAGCGTGCGGCTTTCTCCGAGGAGCGCTAGACTGGTGGCATTCGCGGAAACTAAGCTAGTCACGTGGCGCAACATGGAACGGCCCGCTCGAGGGGTGTCCTGCCCACTCTATCAGCTGGCGGCGAACGCGGAAGGATGCTCGCACGCTTTTTACAAACATCATTGCTCGAACAACAAATTGAAGCATGAAAACATATAAACAATGTCGTCATAAAAAAAAAAATCATAAAGCACTTTACTTTTATCGCTTATCAAGCGATAGAGTGGGCAGGACACTGTACCTTCCGTTTTGCAACATTTTTACTTCCTGTGAAAGACTGGTTGTCATCTGGTGTTTGCGACGTTTTGCAAGAGCCACCTGGGGACACGCCACGGATATCCCCCTCTTAACCAGTTTGGAATGGGCACGTTCGAAAGATACAAAGCTTTCTTTCAGAACGCCGATTATACATTATACATATATGATCCTCAAAAAAACGTGATCATAAGGTCCGAAAAACGCATGCAGTTGTCCGCAGGCATTTCCCATGTATGACCTATAGCCCAACTTACGAATATTTAAACGTATCCACAATGCTCTCAACAACTTCTTCCAACTCCGAATTCCTGTCTAAAATTAAAAGGTAGAAGTTTACATATCTTCTCTGCATGCTAATCAGCAAGGCCTCGCGCAATTCATTTGTACAAAGACGGTAAAAGTATTACTTAAAACAGGGGCAACCAGACGGCCCAATACAAACGCCGGATTTTTGTACAAACAGAAACAAACAAACATAAAACGTTCATTGTAACTGGCGGCAGTGAACTGAAGAAAAGAAACCAAGAGCTCTGAACAATGTTTGCTGCTAACGCCCGCAGAACTTTGAAACTTGGCCCTTTCTATATTTTCCCAAACCGTTTGAAGTAACCCGTCATGAGGAACGGAATAGTAGAGCTCCTCGACGTTCACAGAGAAACCTAAAATGGCATTTGGACGCCCCTTTCCAAACACCCCAACCTCATCCGAGCTTCGTACAAGAAAAAGGTCACTCAGAGCAAGTATATCTAAGTGGCGCTGTACGTGAACTCATGAACCCGCCATGTGTTCTTCTCAGACACAGTGGCTCGGTATAGACATTCAAGTTTGTGCGTTTTTTTCCGTGAAAAACACTTCTCAAAGCCACCAGAGCAAGTATATCTAAGTGGCGCTGTAGGTGACAGCTAACATGAACCTGCCATGTGTTCTTCTCAGACACAGTGGCTCGGAATAGACATTCAAGTTTGTGCGTTTTTCCCGTGAAAAACGCTTCCAAAAATCCCCTTTTCTGCTTTCTCGGTAGCTTTCGCTCAAGGTTTCCGGGTTCAAATATTTTAGCGCTGTAAGCGACTCAGATGTTTGTCTTCGGACGAAACCTGACTTCCCTTAAAACCTTATCTATCGCTGCCGACGCCCTCTCTTAGAAGAAACCCTTCGTCAAAACAACGAAACAGCCTTCCTTATCGACCTGGAGAAGAGATAGTGCAAAGAGGCTTCGCACTAGGAGGCACTATGAAGACGACTCGCAGTGTCACTGGAGCAGCCAATACATGCATCACCAATGGCAGACTCCTTGTACTGTTCACTATAAAGATTGTGCCTCTGAGGGCTGGACCTCTTCGGTGTTCTGGATCCACCTTGAAGTCGCGCAAGAAGGTTGTGAAACATTCTGAAATCTGAATATTTGGGGCAGGTCAGAATGCATTGGGACTGGCTCCGTGTCATCGTTCATAGAGGATCAGAAGGAGCAGTTGCCTGCCAATCGCCGGTATGCTAATACAAGAAATTGGCGACATAAACTACAGAGTTCTTGTGGCGAAGAGCGCGACTGAAGCTTCCATCAAGGGAGGAGCGCTGACAACGTCACCGTTTTGGGAGGTGCTAACTCTTCCAGATGACGTCAAGCAAGTTATATATATATAAAAAAAAAGTCCATCGTTCAGCTTCGAGCATTCTACGACTCAACCGGAGCTTCCCGCCATGGTTCGAAGGGTTCCGGATCGTGCGAGAGAGCAGAACAAGGAGCGTGCCATCGGTGATGGTGTGGGCTGCCTCAGTGACCACTGTGAGTCGTCTTCCTGGGTCAAAACATCCTTAAAAAAAAGAAAAAAAAAAAGTAGGGGGTTGTTTAGGCCGGAAGGGAAGGCGGGTTCATTGTTATGACGAAGGGTTTGTTTTAAGAGAGGGCGTCGGTAGCGATAGATAAGAATTGGAGGGAAGTGAAGTTTTGTACGAAGGCACAAAAATCTGAGACGCTTAGGAAGCTAAAAGATTTGAACCTGGAAAACTTGAGGAAGGCTCCGAGGAA